CAAAGTGGTAAAGGGAAGAAATTGTTCCTTCATGTACAGCAGCCTGAATTACACTGATTACACTTGTAACTTTAAGATGGCAATGAGGCCGATTCACATTCCTGCCGTATTACATTTAACACATCAATTATTTTGCCTCCGCATCCAGGCTGACTCTAATACAGTGCTTGGCGACCTCTACATTGTCAGAAGTGCCGTGCTTCAGATGATACGTTAAACTAAGGTCCCGTCTGTCTGTTCAGGTGGACGTTAAAGATGGCACTATTTAAAAAGACGAGAGAATTTCTCCCGGTGTTCAGAGTATTCACTCTTTTCCACTTCTTCGCTATTCAAGTTTTATATGGGGGATTGTTGACCAGGACATTGGGAGGAATTCCCTTCACTATTCGAGTAGTGCCATGAGTCCCGACGAGAAGTTTGAACCCATAACCTTCTGACTTTGAGGGGAGAGTGCTAACCAGTCAAGGTGGGGTGATACCTTTTCTACTCATTTATACATATCTCGATGCATTTTCTCTAAACCAGTTCCTGATAAGTACAACTTCTTGATGGAAATTAGTGCAGCGGCTTATCAAGCCTGGCCCAATGAGATAAGGACATGAACTAATCCGGTCTGATTAGCGAACGCACAAAAGCTTGGAGAGGGCAGCACTGCACTATTCACAGATAATAAATTACTAATACGAATGCTCAGATCTGATATTTAACCGCAATAATATTGATAAATGTATCCGTTTTCCGCTTGACTTTTTAATTTGCATTAATTTAATTTTTATTTCTTGGCAATGCGCAACTTATCCTTCCTCGCAAAGGGAGGAAAGAGTGAGAGAGAGAGACTGAGACAAGCACGATCCCAGTTTTTACCTTCGGCCCTCGTTCTGTTTGCCAGAGGTGCAACAGATGATGATAAAAAGAATGTTATTTGACTTGGGCTGAAAGTTAAATTGATTCGGGGGAAATCTGCACTACCAGCTGTGCTCAGTTACATTTCATGAGATCGTGTAACCTGGCTATATCACTATACATCTTGACATGGCTGGTTTGTGTCCTGGCACTGATTTATTTTCAAAATTCTTATTCTGCAACATTCCTCTTCCAGCTCTCCTTTTTTGGGGGTATAGTATAATTATAATAATCCTTGCACTTGATATAGCGCTTTATCAAATCTTCAATACATCTCCAAGCGCTCCACAGAATATACTGTCAAGTGAATTCACTGTATATTTTGTGGGCGAAAGCAGCAGCCAATTGCGCAAAGCGGCATCCCACAAACAGTGGTGGATTGAGTGACCAAATTACTGTTATTTTTGTTTATTTATTTAATTTTGAAGGAATTATTACCCCCGGAAAAGCGATCTGCCAGTCGATTAACAACCATGTTCCTACTTGCTGCTAGGTAAACAGAGGCATGTGGAGTAAGGAAACTTACCTATGGTTTCGCCCTGACCAGGAATCGAACCCGGGTCCTCTCTCTTGAGAGGATTGTCTTTTTTTATTTTATTTTTTTATTTTGTTTATTTTTATTTTGCCATTTGGGACACTCACTCCATCCTTCGGGTCAGACACTAAACCGAGGTCCCATCTGTGCCTGTTGAAATGGATGTTTAAGATCCCGCGGCACAATGCAAAAAGAGAAGGGAGTTTCTCTCTCCCAGTGTCCTGGACTACAATCCCACAGATTAATAATAACCTGCACGGCTATTTGTGGGACCTTTGCTGTGTGCAAATCGGCTTCTGCGTTCGCCAGCAAAATACACGCAGTCGCAGCTCTTTACAGTGTATTCTGTGGAGCTCTTTGAGACATTATAAGGAGCTATATCAAATTAAAGGGTTAATATTATTATCATACATCACCTGTATAAAAAAATACAGGGTCACTACACTATTCTTTAAATCCTGCAAAGCTCTTGAAACAATGTTCCAATGTGAGAGATGCTATATCAAAGGCAAGGATTATCTATCCTCCATAGTTTCCTTTTGAGTTGTGATTAAACTTAACATTTCCATTGGGATTCTCGTATGCCTTTTGATGTTGTGGTTAGACAGTTGTTGTGTGATTGCCTTGAACTAAAGGTCTGCTGCTTTGCACAATGTGTTCCTGTGGTAATTACTCTCGCGAAACACTGCAAATTTCAGCCCTGAACAACTCGCCAATATTTGGGATCTTTGATCAGTACGACTTGGATGTCCAAAATATTCTCAGGAATAAGTGTGGAGAGAGACCAACAAAAATAGCCAGAGGAGTCCTGGAGGCAAAGTAAAGGGTCACCCAACAAGAGATAGAACTTTTCAGGCATCTGATTTCATTTTCCTTCATCCCAGAAGGAGTCCTCCTTTGAAACATCCGTTGGCCATTGATTCCCCCCCTCCCGCTTTTAGTTTGAATAAGATCTGCAGGTCAGTTGCGAATCTTATCTGCAGATCAGAACAGAGCCGAATGTCAGGACGTACTGAGAAATTGTCCTGTAGCTCAGTGGTTAGAGCACTCGCTTTGCAAGCGAGAGACCTGAGTTCAATTCCAGGCACAGGGCGAAACCTTGGGCAAGTTTCCTTACTCCACACGCCAAATAATAATCCCTCCAAAACTAAAAACAATAATTAAATTGGTCATTTTCAATCTACGACTGTTTGTGGGACATTGCTGTGCGCAATTGGCTGCCGCGTTCGCCCACAAATATACAGTCAATTCACTTTACAGTGTGTTCTGTGAAGCGCTTTGGGACGTCCTCCCGACGTGAAAAGCGCTATATCAAATGCAAGGATTATTATTAAATTAGACAGAAATAATAATGTTGAACAAGAGAATAAAATTCTAATGGGAAGCACGATGCATTGGTCTTTGTTCTCCCAATAAAGGTTTCTCGGCATGCGATTAATCTAAATTGTCAGGCTGCCTGGTCTGGAGAGTGTGAGTTCCCTTCAACAAAGTCGAAAAGAAAACCTCAAGTTGAAATGAAATAAACGTTGAGCATGGAGATGACGAGATATGGATACACAGCCTTAAATGCCCTTTTGCAGAGGCAAAATTTCAAATGAATGCACCTAATGCCCAAGATAATAAATAATAAACCTCTCAAACTCTCTACCTCACCCCCTCTTTATCTATCTTTAAATCCCATTTTAAGATGACCTTTCGACCGATGTCATCTCCCGCCATCTTCCTTGCTCAGTGTCCAACTCTACCACTGTGCAGCCCTCCGAGACATTATCCTGGTGAAGGGTGCTGTATAAATGTAGAGTCCTGTAGCTTAGTGGTTAGAGCACTCGCCTCGCAAGCCTGGGTTTGATTTCTGGGCAAGGCGAAACATTAGGCAAGTTTCCCTCATCTCCACATCTCTGTTTACCTCGCAGGAAGTAGGAACCCAGTTGTTAGTCGATTTGCGGATCACTTTTCCGGAGGTAATAATCCCTTCAAAAATCATAATATTTTGGTCACTCAATTCGCAACTGTTTGTGGGGCACTGCTGTGCGGAATTGGCTGCCGTATTTCGCTCATAAAATGTCAATTCACTTTACAATATAATCTGTGAAGCGCTTTGGAACAAAGACGTGAAAAGGCATCATATCAAATGCAAGTATTATTATTATATTATAACCTGTTGTAATAATAATCTTTGCGTTTGATGTAGAGCCTTAATGCTTCGTTGAGATATCTCAAAGTGGTTCACAGAATCTACTGTGAAGTGTAGTGACTGTTTCTTTGTGAGCGAAAATGTACACCCATTATTACATGAGTTATTACAGTGAGTGGTAACTATTTCACAGTAAATTCTTTGCTCTTTATCGAGGTAACAAATGGCCGGAAGTTAAAATGAGCGCTGAGTTTTAGGATATCACTGGTGCTAGTTAATCCTAGCTCAGCCTCTTTCATCTGTTCTAGTACTTTGGGTCAAAGCTAACTGCTTTTAGCTGGAATGTACACTCTGGCTCCTCGTTCATTCTCCCTTTGGTTTGTCTACTTTGCAACAAAGAGGTGACTACTACAAGGCTCCTCCATGTATCCAGATCCTAAACTCATTTTCATCTCTTTTACTTACTGATGAATATCTTGGGCTTGATAATAGCTGTGTATTATCGAGATCAATCTTGTTTCCTGATTCCCTGATATTCCGTAGCTGTTGATGAATAGATCCAGGCTTGAGTTTCCATGGGTCTCTTTTTCGGTTCAAGTTTTATGTTTGCATTTCATGAATTAATCTGGCTCGCACAATAGCATAAATTGTAGGGCAGAATATATTGGCATATCAACGCTCCCTGTGACAGCTTTGTTGAGGTTACTTTACCACCATCTGGTTCACATCATTATCATTTGTTGCGGAGGAAAGAACAAATGAAAATGATTTTGTTTGTAGTGATTGCGTGAAGTCAGCTCTCCCAGGATAGAAAGCAGAGTACGGGACATAACCTCATTATTCCAGTTCGGTGATGTGGGGACTCGAAATTTCAGAAAGTTACCAAAGAATCAAATCAAAATATATTGTTTCAATGTTTATTATAATAATAATAATCATAATCTTTGCATCTGATATAGCGCCTTTCACATCGAGAGGATATCTCACTGGATATACTACAAAGTGGAGTGACTACGTAAAAAGATTGCTAGCTAATTTGCACACAGCAGCGTCCCATAAACAGCCATGAAGTAATTGACCCAATTTTTTTCTTTTTAATCCAGGGATCGTTAACCAAGATCCTGGGGAGAAACTCCCTTCTCTTCTTCACTTGAGCAAGAAGAGTTTCAATTCTCTATACCACAACTTGGAAAGACCATCTTATTGTCACGTCGGTCTTTATAAATTGTGGTTTTGTAAAAAAAAAGGCAAAACATGACCAAATGCATTCTAAAGACCTTTCTAATCAGCTTCACCAAGCCCTCAGGCCTGCTTTGTGATTAATGAACTTGAAACTCATTATCTCTTTTTTGTATAAAAGTCACTGATGTGAATGTATTGGGTATTCATGCACTTATTTTTTCCTGTTGCTCTTTCTTTTTTCCTCAGGCAGTTGTACGTTTGATGAAAATTATAGCAGCTGTGGGTACATCGTGGCTCTTGGGACAAATGGATTCACCTGGGAACAAATTAATACATGGGATAAACCAACCGTCGATCCATCTGTTCCAACAGGTGAGTGGAACTGTCAAGTAGGCGTGAAACAATATTTTTGCCACAAATCTGATACAAAAGCTGTCACTGGCTACTCTTACTAGTGAGAATTAGGAACGTGAAATGCATGCGTTCAGCCCGCATAATGGCACGAATATCACGCACAGCAGTTGTCAACCTCCTGTTATGATCCATTGATTTATTAATAAGAATAATCCTTGCATTTGATATGGCACCGATCAAGCGTGGATGACGTCTCAAAGTGTTTGACAGGGTTCACTGGAAAGTTCAACGACTGTGTATTTTGTAGGCGAACAACGGCAGCTAATTTGCACACAGCAATGTCCCACAAATAGCCGTGAAGTGAGTGAACGATTTTCTCTGTGGGAATGTTGGCCAGGACCCCGGGAGAAACTCCCTTCTCTTTTCAAATAATGTCATGGCATCTTTAACGTCCACCTGAACATGCAAAATTGGAATTCTTAACAGAGAATTACATGAAGTTTACATACAGTATCTGTCTTGCAGGCTTCAAGGGATCTGGATCCAATGTATCACGATAAGTATTGTATCTGCTGTGAGATTGCCCTTAACCATCGGGGATCCATGTTGGTGACTCGAGTTGCTATCAGTGAAATTGTTACTATTTCCATCTTATGGATCATACGGATGATGCATTTGATGAAGTATTAAATAGAAACGGAACAGGGGAGCTCTCGTAGCATTATGATACCTACTGTAATGGAAATAACACAGTCAAAGAGATCATGACCCCTTTTACTAAATCATAAGACGCAGTGTGCCATTTTTATCTCAAGCTTCACTGGAGACTTGAGCAAGACTGGCTAGCCTTCAGTTCCGTTTTTATGTGACTATAAGTACCTCTTTTTGGGCAACAGAGTTTAGTTGAAAATAATACAGATTAAATGTGGAATATTGCACTTTGACTGTTCGTTGCAGAAGTTCTTTTTCGTGTGATAGATCCATAACTGCACTTGGTGTCGATCAAGTTAATGCTTCCTTTTGAGTGGGAGAAAACTGGAAGTGCAAGCTATATCAGTGTTGTGATACTCCATGATGGCTTTATAGCTGCTGTGGAAACAAACAAAGGAATAATTCACTGACTTAGACCAATCTTTATTTGTACCTATCAAGGGCCCATTTTGCTAATTGCTGTTGAGCTTGACAAGTCGTATAGGCACACTCCAGTGGAGGTGCTATCATTCTGAGGGAGTCATGAAACCAAACTGCTTTCTGTTGGTCCGTGTGGTTCAGCTGGGTGTTAAAGATCTCACGCGACCATTTCAAACAAGGGCAGGGAGTTGTCTGTGTCCTGGCCCAATGTTCCTCACTGACACAAATCCACCAAGAAATGGATGAGATGATCATCACATGGGATTTGCTGCCACCAAACCTATTCTAACGACTCAACGATTCCTGCGCCAAGCTACAGCCAGTGCTGCGATCAATTTCAATGAGGTTTTGTATCGTTTGTAGGGTATTTGTCAAACCATTTCTGTTCATGGATGAATGTCCCGTAGATGAGTTTTACAGGAGCATCACACACAAGAGAAGCGTGTAATGTACTATTTATTCAGGTGGACGTTAAAGATCCAACTACACGACTCGAAAAGAGAGGGAAGTTTCTCCCTGTTGTTCTGGCCGACAATCCCACAGAGAAAAAAAATATACCGTTCACTACGAGGCTGTCTGTCTGTGAGACATTGCTGCGCACAAATTGACTGCCACGTTCGCTCACAAAATACAGTCATTACACTTCACTGTAAAATCCAGTGCTTTGAGACGGCTGGGATAAGGCACTGTATCAAGTGCAAGGATTATTATTATCATAATGATGTGTCAAGGTACCAATTGTGCCATCATGTCGTGCATTTTAACTGGTAGAAACTACCAAATGTGTTTTCTTGATGACTTATCTGCCTTTCAGTGAGCATGATTGACTTAGAAAACCACTCACCAAGACACGGGAAGTTGCAAGTTGCCTTTGTTGTCGCTCGCTGTTTCTTTCCCGACTCACAAAATGTTGAGGCTGTTGGATTGTTTAGTGGGTTCCCATCCAGTAATTGAAACACGTTACGTTTTGTTGATAATTCATTTGTATTACTGTGATGAACTATGTCAGAGCCATACATATTTAAAAATAGTCAATTATGTCGGCTATCACGTGTCTCGGAGGAAATCAGCTTGCAGTTTCTTTGTATACAGAAAATACACAGAGGAATCTTTCGTTTTGTGGTGATCGCTACTTCAAGCATTTTGGCTTTATTTGCCTCAAGTTTGCAAAAAAAAAGGCTGAGCTATTTCATTAACGGTAATATTTATTGCCCTAATATTTTTAATGAGCCCATTAGGAATGAAGGCAGTTAATCAGTGTAAGGAATTGTACGTCTCTGTCATTAAATGGATATTAGTGCAGTGTAACGTGAAGTGACTGAAATGCTGGATAAACGCTGGAAATGTTATTACAGCGTATCTGTTTTCTTTCATTCCATGTTCCACTTTGCTGCTCTGTTTGTTGTGCAGTCAGCTTTTAACCCTTTAGAATCTCTAGAACTACCTCCATCTAACCTTCCGTCTCGTCTCCCCACCCCCTCTCTCTCTATCTCTGTCAAGTACTTTTGAGAAATGGGGCAAAACCTGAGGCAAGTTTCCTTACTTGACACAAACGCCCCTGTTTACCGAGCAGTAAGTAGGAACCTAGTTGTTAGTTGGTTGTCAGATCACTTTTCCAGGGCTAATAATCCCTTCAAAATCAAATTTAAAAAAAAAGAATAATAATTTGGTCGCTCGATCCATGACTGTTTGTGGGACACTGTTGTGCGCAATTGGCTGCCTGGTTTCGCCCACAAAATATACAATCACTACTCTTTACAGTATGGTTTGTCCTTAAATTGAGAACTTTGAGTGTTAAATCCTAGTATAGATGTTCCACCCATAGCAGTTTGGGAACTCCAGCAATAGATATTCAAAGCCTGTAACCTTGCCCATCGTTGCAATTCAAATTTATCACCTTTATAATTAAAATATGCCACTGAAAGTGACGATTATTGAATCGTAACACATTTCTAAATTACATGGGGTGACGACTGTTACATGTGAAGTGTCAAATCTCATGTCCCAATTTCCATCCCATTGGAAGCTTTGCGACGAAAAGAATTATTATTATCCGTATATTACTAAAAAAAAAGACGGCGACAATGATTTATCTTGAATTGCTAAAAATACATAGTATTTAACAAGGTTTCTCTAACATAGGATTTACACCGCAGGTGAATACTCAAAGCACCACTGGGGAAGTTGACAATTGAAGTGATAATTGGCTTGACTTTACAAATTGGAGAGCAGATATTAATCCAAGGGAATGAGATGTCTGCTCTCTCAGGAACCCATTTTAGCTCCTCTTCCCTTCCTACTATTTCTTAATGACTTTGTTGAAAGTATTCCACAGCATAGTATCCCACTTTAAAGTTGAACAGGCCCATGAGGGAAGGGAAGATCAGATCAGAAATGTCAATTAATGGAATTTACACAGAGACTTTGGGCTGGTGGCATGTACTTGGAATGGTGGGAGGGAAATCTCATTATAAACTAATGCCATTGAGGTCGGATATTCACCAAACCATATCCAAATGTAGGAACGGCAAACTGACATTATTTATTGGGAGCCATTTCATGCAATGTGCTTGAGCACTAAAATCATCTGATGAAAAGTAATCTTTCAATAGGAAAAAACCGATTAAACTCCGACAGTTAGCCCACAACGCACACTCCAGGAACCCTAAGACTCGGCTCTTGCAAACGTGCGCCTAACACTCTCCAGATTAAGGTAAGCAGTGTGTGTCTCTCCAGGTGGAGAGGGTGCGCCTTCTATTCCAGACATCAAGAAATATTCATATTGAGGTGGTGTATATATGTGGGACTCTGTCTGGTTTGAATTACATTACGGAGGGACTCTGGGTTGGGGTTCCAGAGAGCAGAGCACCTCATTACAACCAAACTGCTGTGATTTTGTCTTACATATTCCATTGTAGCACTGCAAACTTCTCCTACCGTATTTATTAAGCTGGTACAGAATGAGATATTTTACGTTTTGTTAATAGTTGTCACGCTCATGAACTGAATCTATAAAACCGATTGAATAAAATGGATTCTTTGGTTAAGATGTGTTAAATCGTGAATATGAGAGCAGAAGTGAACCAAACCTTTCTATTGAATCTTGAGACGTTCTAAACCATGAAACCCTCTAATTTTACGCTTCGATTTGGAGGTGGAAATTGTTCCCGTCCTAATTATTTTTTTGATGGTCGCAGAGTTTGCCGAAGGATTGACTGGTTAAAATCGGGTGATGTTAGCCATTAGTGCAGCACAGAACCCGAGGCTGACAGCTCGGAGCTTTTGAAAGCGGGTACAATTTTTTTCCAAAACGTATGAGATAATAAGGGCTGAGCGAGTCAAAAGAGGAAGAAAGAGCTGAAGAGGAAATCAATTACCCAAATTTCACAGACAGGGATGAGAAATCTTTCTGGTGACACTATTATCTTGATGTCACAGACGAGACTTGAGGATCTGAGTCATTGTCACAATATACAGAGTGGAAGTAAAGGGAGGAATAATGAAGCCAATAGACAGTGGATGTCAGAAGCATTCTGCTTGGATAGGAGGTGCACCTGAAAACCGGGGTCTGTTTTATATTTCTCTCTATGGACCTTCTTATTACTGCTCACTGATATCTTTCACATCAGGATGTGTCAAAGTGCTTGACATGGTCACTGGGGACTCGAGCGGATGTCGGGGTTAGCCAAAGCGCCTAGGGAGAGTAGAGATATGAGAGTGGACAAAGAGGTACATCTTGAGATGGGCCTCAAACAAGGGGAGGGAGGGAGAGAGGGACTCGGGATGGAGTTCCAGAGAGCAGGGATAGAATGGCTGAATAAAGCCTGCCCGCCGATGGTGGGGCAGACAGGGCGGGGGACGAGAAGCAGGACTGATTAAAGGGAGAG